AGAGAGATAAAGTTAATTTAAAATTTGAAAATTATCTAATATTTCATTATATAGATTTTTTTTATATATTTGTTTTAAATATATATAACGAAATATCAAATAATTTTTAAAAATTTATAAACTTAATCTATATATTAAGAATTTTAAATTTAACTATTAGATCAATAAAAATTAATATAGAACATGAGTTATTACATGAAAAATATCTACCAACACTTATTTTTAGAGTAAAATGACCCATTTTTATAGATATACATATATATATACATATACACACTACAAGCGAAGAAAGAAGTAAAACTAACCAATTGTAAGGTCTGTGACTTACCAACCAATCAAAAAATCCCAGACTCTTTGAGATGCTAGCCTGTCTTTTTCTGTATTTGTTAGAGGAAAAATCCCATATGTGAACACAGAGATACCAACAAATCCATGTTGTTTGTCCTACAAACTTACATAAGTTTGTATGAAAATTTGTATGAAAATTGATATAAAAAAATTAAGAAGCCTATAAAGGATGTTAAGTTTTATGCTATAAGTATATTAGTTGATCCTTTTATCATTTAAACACATACAAATAGAGAAGTGTTAGCAAAATACCTTTTATTATTGAGAGAGAAATAGTAAGACACTTATTACTATTGGTTAAACTAGACGTAGCAAGAACTACAAAAATTTATTAATTCTAATATATTTCAGCAGATAACTAAGATTAGGGCAATAGAAATATGCAAAAAATCTAAATTGATCATAACTAATCCATATTAAAAAATCAATTTATTTAAAGAAAAAAAAATTGAATAGATCCACTTTACAAAATCGATTTGATTATCTAACCCATTTTTACAAAGTAAATTAGTTCAATTTTTTTAAAAAAAATTCATATATAGATAAAAAGATGAATAATCATAATGTACTAAACTAATCCAATTTCAAAAAATTTAATTCATAAAAAAAATTAAATCAATTCACTCTATAAAAAATGGAGGGGTTAATCGATCTACTTTTATAAAATAAATTAGTTTAATTTGATTTGAATTTTTCAAAAATTTAATCTATGAGCACCCCCTAAATTAGGTGATATACCTTGTATTTTCTCCGGTACAGTCTCGCAGCTGAAGAATGTGCTAACAAAATATGATGAACTGTCAAGTAGGGCTCATATGTTGAGTTGCCCCTACCACTATCTATTGCACAAAATGGGAGCGAACATCGTTGCGGTGGGCTAATTCCCAGATCATAACCACCCATGGCAAAAACATTGGGCTCGTTGATGGTGGTCCAATACAATACTCTGTCACCAAACTCTCTAAAACACACATCTGCATAGTATGTGAAGTCTCTTCTACATTTACATCCAAGTAATTTTCTCCATTATTATAAGGAGGCAAAAGTTTACACACGCACACACCCATTTGTTAGAATTTTAAACAAGATGAAATTGATTAGGAATATACATGATGTCACGACTAACCCATCCTCCATATTCATCTTCAAGTACTTGTGGAAGATCATAGTTGTGTAGCGTGACATGTGGTTGGATTCCTGCTACAGGGGAAAAGGGAACTAAAGGTGTCAAAATTATTAATTCATTTACTTATCTGAAGTGAATATAAGGCTATGACATGGTTAATTTTGCAAACAGAGAAACTAGTTTTGAAGTGTTTAACCATTGCTGATGAGTTCATTGATGAGGTTGTTGTAGAACTGTAATCCTTTGGGATTGACGGGCCCTCTGCCATCTGAGGAGAAACAAAAGCATTTTCAAGTGTTGAGAAAGGTTTTTACCTTACAAATTCAAGGGTTTGTGTCGAGTAATCATACTTGGCAACAATCTGGACCATGAAATGGAAAATCTATAGGCATCAAGGCCTGTTTCCACCATAAGCCGCACATCTTCCTGCATTAGCCTCAATCTTCTTTAATTTTCCACAAAATGGAGAACCACAAGGAATGCATTAACGGGCCGGGAAAGTGGAAAAATATTGAGGCGTAGCATATTTAGTATTCACCTTATACTTGTGATACCCATCACAGGCTACATCTCCATTTTCTCCATGCGCATACCCTGTTTCTTAAAAATTATTGCATGAGACTAGCCTTTGATGCGTGCGTGAATGATTGGTAAATATTTCACAGTTTTTCATTACCGATTCACGTTTCACTTTATAATCGATTATTGAGGTGTTCTATTTTTTATTCTTAAATAATTAGTGTCTTAAAGCTTGAAAACCATGTAATTACCCATCTAGACTTTTAGAGTTTCTATACATCATTAAGTATCCATGTCCTCATTTTTTATAACAATTATACTATTATTTTGAATTTAGAGTTGTACCGTAATATATATATATATATATATAGTTAATCACTTATACACTGTCAGTGTAAAATAAAATTTTTTTACATTGACAGTATATAGGTGATTAAATCATATATATATATATAATGTACTGAGTAAGTTGTGAGAATCTTTTTCCAAAGATCTAGTTGATCTTAAAAGAGAAAGGTATATAAGATTTTTTCTGAGAGTTAAGTGTAACAACCTGAATTTCATATCTTATAATAAATAGTATTTTAAAAATGATTTTCACGTTTAATGTATTTATTTTAGAGTTTTAAATATTATTTAATTAATGATATGAACTCTATTTTAATTATGTGACACCATTTTTAATTATATTTTGTTTAATTAGTGGAGCATGAGTTATTTTTATTAAATGTATTTTATTATTAATAATTATGTTTAAGTTATCTTATAAAAGGGAGAAGATATGTTTAATATTATTATTATTATTATTTTATGGAAGGGAAGGAAGGACGTAGTAATCTTTTACAAATTATTATTATTATTATTATTATTATTATTTTATTAATTTGAGAAAAGGGAGGTTATTATAAGTTATCTGGGTCATTCCACGCATTCACTTCTTCCCGACTCATTTTCTTTCTACGCTTCTGAAGACCAAGGAGAACCTAAAGGAGAGAACCATCCCAATTTCGCTCGTGCTACATCTTCTGTTCATCAAGGTAAGGAAGGAGTGAGAAACCTCGCTCGGGGGTGTGGGAATAATTATTGGGTAGTAAGATTGGCCCGCAATCCCTTGCTTGATGCATGCTTTAGGAACAGGAAGATTATGAAAGTTTTTTGTTTTAATAGCTGAGTTTTCTATTGGGTTCTGGTTGGATGTAATGCATGAATATGTGTTTGATTTCAAAATGAGATAAGTTTTGATATGAATTAGAGTGTTCTATGGGTTCTTAGGAGAAACCCTGTGAGAAACAATTAGGGGTATGATCTTTTGACAAGATTTGAGGTAGTTTACATAAAATTGAGTATGGATTCGTGATCTGGGTGTTATTTGAAGTGTATTTACTGAATGAATGCTATAATTACATGTTTGGTTATGAACAATGGAACATTTCACGAAGTTAAGTAATGCAAGTTCACATTGGGGCGTTGGGCACAGTTTTAAGCCAGGCTTAGTTTTTTTAAGCCGGGCGCAAATTTTTAAGCCGAGCACAGGAAAGCTTCGTCGAGCAGATTTCTTCGCTTTAGGTGCGGTATTTAATTCACTTAGCGCGCTCAAGGCGCGCCGAGCGTGATTCTCTGCTTTTGGTGCGGCACCTAATGCATCAAACGCAAGTTGGGGCGTGCCGGGCGTGACCCCTGTGATGTTTTATATGTTTTATGTCTTTTTTGAAGGTGCAAATTGTGTGGAAATTGCATTAGTACTGTGTTAGCGTATGTGATGCGTTTTATGAGTATGATAAGGACATGAATCTCCAAATGATGATCTTATGGGTATGATTATGAGAAATGTGAAATGTGAACAAGTGACATGAGACATGAAATTCCTTGACAAGTAAAATGTTGAGTTCATGAGTTTGTGAATGTGTGACATACATCATACGCATTTATGTGACAGGGTACAATATGGAGTACATCGTTAGGGAAGGCCCTCCAAGTGTTAAACATCTTGGGGGAGTCCTAGGGATAGTGCGATTTGGAAGGTCCAGTTCAGCCTGTTTGTGTGCATGGGACGTATCTTGCGCCGCTTCACTATCCCGACGAGACCCTAACATTCATGAATTGATGTACAGGATGGGTGGATTTTTGGATTATTGAAGTGGTTTGCTAGGTTGATGTTTTTGAGCTTCAAATCTACATATTTTCTAGCTTTGGTCGCTTAAAGCGCCCATGGGGGTCACTACAAGTGAGCCTAGGTGATTGTTTAGAGATGTTTTCTGACTTGAGTTGCTTAAAGTAAATTTTGGCCGCTTTGAGGAAACTGACCTTGCTTAAGCAAAAGATTGACTTGTTTAAGTGAGTATATTGCCAAATTTGCTTTTGTGGCCTCATGAAAGTTATAATCATGGATGTTAGCTTTCCAATGGCTTTGGAATCACATAAAAAGAAGGTTTAAAACTTCAATTATGAACTTTTTAGTGAATAAAGGTCAAGTTGTCAGCATTTAAGAAAACTATTACGATTTTTGTAATTTTTATAATAGTTGTAAAGAACCTTTTTAGCTTTGATATGAGATAAAGCTGAATTTGTTTGGAGTGGTAGAACTCCTATGTATTATTTTATGAGAAGGTTGTCATTATATATATGGTGATGGTGTATGGATTAAGTGAGTATGGTGTATGGTGATGGTTCTACATATGTTGATTGGATATGACATATGTAGATGTTTCTATGATGTTGGATGATGATGAGTATATGTATGTTGTAATATGTATGATGTATGATTTTGCAGAGTATTGATATGCCTTGTATGGATGATGTTGTTGATTTCTATATATATTGACCGGATGTGATGCATATAGATGATGTATGGTGAGGTGTGGATGTTGAAAATGTGATATAGCATTAAGGCATGTTGGCTGACTTGGGACTTAAAGGGAGGAAAGGAAATTGTTTTTGAAAATTGAAGATCCCACATAGGAAACCTTATAGTGGTGCTTGGCCAGGCCACTGTTGGAAAACCCTATTTTAGTAGGTGTGTCTCTTGGAGTGAATTTTTGAGGTGTGTTAAGTCTCCTCTAAGTCCTTAGTGATTGAGTAAGGTAGGAGGTTGAGGGCTACAATACTTAACCAAGTACCTAGAAAGATTGTGCGATTCCTTGAGGATGATCGGGGGCTAACTCCACATGTGACTTGGTAATGCATGCCAAAGTCATGGTATGTCTATACCCAATTATACTACTCCTTATAGTGGAATCAGACTTTTCTAGTGGAAGTAATAAGATCCGAGAAAAAAGAGAAGGGATTGGTATCCCATTTTGTTGTGATCAAGGCGACACTTTAAATGGGAAAACGATTAGATTGGTTCGATAGAGTGGGGTCATTTTGACTGCTCATGTTGTTAGGAGATCTCAATAGGTAAATGTGTAATAATGTATTAGTTGGTATGTTTGCATATAATGGGTATTTAGGTGTATTCATATGCATTGTTAATGTCTTGTGTGACGTGATTTGGATGAGATGCATATTTGCTTAGAGTATTGTAGCTTTCATGTATGATTATGACATGAGGTTGTATGTTATAGAATTGTTTTATATATGTTCATATTTTCTAACTCTAGCTTACCCTTTTTGTTTTCATGGTGATTTAGATTACGATAATCATACATTGTATATGAGAAAATCAGGACTAAACTTGAGGAGCCGCTACGGACAAATGGTGTAATTTTTCAAACTACTCCTTTTTTATGTATTTTTTTTATTTACCATATTAAAGGGTAAATTATATATCAATTTTGTTTATTATCAATTTTTTGTTGAGAATTTGACTTATTATAGGGAAGTTTTTATTTTGTGTAGCAAAAAAAAAATTATCAGTCATTTTTAATATTAAGAACAACCAAGAACTATTTGTACATGTGACTTCGAGTCTTCCACAAAATCTAACTCCAATGATAAAATTCCAGAAGAACTAACTCTTAAATTTAAGAATCCCATACGTAATTTTTGTCAGAAATTTTCTTAACATCAATATCAAAAATTTCTTTATATAAACTCTCTTTAGCTTAAATTATATGTTATTTTAAGAGTTTTAATTTATTTTAAAACATTTATCATATTAAAGCATCAATAAAGCATTCATTTTTAAAAAATATTTTGATTTATTAATATATCACTTAACTATTACTCCCTCCTATCCTTACTATAAAACACAATTTTAAAAAGAAAATAGTAGTTATTTTTATAAGGTACTTTATAATTTTTTTTATAAAATATTAATTTTAGTTTTTATTTTGTGTTTTTAATAAAGATTATGAGATATACGTTTTTTTTCTCTTTCACCTCTTTGATTCTTTTAATAGTCATTTATCATTTTTATTGATATCAATAATTTTCTCCCTTCTTCCATAAAAATTTAATGACAAATAAAAAGATAAAATTAATAAATTATAATTTTATTTTACAAATCTAATAAAATCAACTACAATAACTAATTATATTTTATTTAAAGTGCCATATCATAAAATACACGGAGAGTAATTAATTTCCACCTTAATCAACAATAACAACAATAGAAGTTGTGCTCTAATTCTTTGAAAAAATATTGTAATTAAAAACTAATAAACTCATAATAATTTATATATTAAAATTTAAAAAAAAAAAATCGCGTGTAATAGCTACGCCTTAAATACCTGTTTCTTTGTAAGAACTCAAACAAAACCCCAAAATTATAAAAATAAATAAATTACTTTCACTTCTTTAAAATTTTGTGAATATTTTTTTTTTATTCTTGCACTAACTCTTTTTAATTATTTTTAAAAAAAATTACACGGACACGTTTGTTCCTGAGTGTACTATATAACAAATAAAAAATATAAAAATTTCATTAAAATGTGCATTTACATATTCTCGTATAATCTTATTTTAATTTTTAATAAAACTTTGTAGGCATTAATTTCTTAATCGGTGTCCTAAATATTAATTCATCTGAATTGGTAGATGAAGGTTTTGTACGGTGTCCCCTACAAGAGTGTTAGTTTAGTAAAATGCATAATTGGTAACATGAATGGGAAGGAAAGTAAGCACTAACCAGCGTGGGCAAAGGTATCCCAGATGCTAGGAGTTCTTCCATCTTCGTTAGCAGCTCCTTCCACCTGTTTGTGGTAATGAATAATGATCTATGCATTCATCCTTTGCTTTGCACAATAAAATAAAATAAAAATGAGGAAGTGAACCTGATAAGCAGAGGTTCCTGATCCGAAAATAAATTGAGGAGGGAAATCATGTCTGCTGTAGTTCTCAGCACCAAGCACTCCCAAAATAAGCAATAAGAAAGCGTGGCTCAAGCTCAATATCAGCAATGCTCGTCGTTCCATTTTCTCTTTTCTGTTTCCAGCCTACAGGGCACCATTATCTATTAAATGTGGTGGAATTCGAATCCGGAAAAATCCAATGCGAATCTACCAAAATTAATTTAAAATGGAGCCCACGTGTCACATCTCTTCCTCTTCTTAATAATTTATTCTAGTTGTTGATTTCTCATTTCGCCTGCTGCCTTCAGACCTCAATTCTATTCTACACTTTCATAGTTCTCTCTACAAAGATTAATTATCTAAATTTTTTTTAAAAAAATAAAAATTATTGAATATTTTGTTTTATTTATTTAAATTGATAAATAATCATATAAATATTTAATATAATAATTTAAATTTATATAATAAAGTATCAAATAATTTTAAATTTTATTAAAATAATTACATACTTAAACTATGGATTAAGAACTTTTAGTTCAATAGTTTAATTATTGAAATTTGACGTAGAATATGAATTATTAAATAGAGTAAGTCTAGATAAACTAACTCTTGGAGTAAGTAAATTTCTTCTTACACACATATATGAAGATGGTTCAAATGACATAGGTATATAATTTTAATCAATTATTACACAACTCAATAAGGTTATATTAAATGTAAATTTTGTCTATTCAAATTATTGAATTATAATTTGATATCACCTTGTATGTTTATATTTAATTGTTTAAAACTAAAGAAAAATTTAAAGATAATCAAAGTGTATATATTTTAATATATTTTAAAATGTATGCATTACGACAATTTTATTCTAATTTTATTCTATAAAACTGTATTATCAAATAATATATATGCTTTTGAAGATGATATGCTTATTCCAAAAATATTTTTTAAGATGATATGTTTGTTCCAAAAAAGTAGTTTTTGAAATAATATGTTTGTAGTAGAAAGTACATTTTAGAATGATATGTTTAATTTGGAAAGAAATTTAGAATAGTAAATATTTTCTTTTGAATTGTTTGTTTTTTTTGAAAACTACTTTATAAAATAATATATGTTCATTTCAGAAAGTGCTTTATGAAATAATAATAGGTTTATAGAAATGTTGCATTAAATGAATCACAAATAGGATAAATAAATAAATGTAAAAGGTTTTAAGAATGATGAAGATGATAAGTTGAAAAAATCAAAATTAAAAAATAATAAAGTGAGAGTATAAAAATAAGGTTTAAAGACTTTCTAAAAAAGAGGGACTAACATAAAGTTACTAGCTAAAGAGAGATTGTGATAAAAGAAAATAGGATAATAGAAGAAAAAAAAAGGAAAGAGAAAGAAGAAGATAAGCAAAAAAGACATTTTTGAAGAAAAAAAATTTGATAAAAAATAAAAAAGAATATATTTGAAAAAAATTTAAGAAATCTTTTTAAAATGTATTTTTATTATTAAAATATATATATAAATTCCTAACAGACTATAGATTAGGATGGATATACAAATTAATAATTATACAATATTTAAAGATATATTTATCTTTATGAAATGTGTCTTTTTATTTTATTTGATTAAAAATAAAAAAGAATATTAATAGATTTGCTGATATTGACAACGACAGTTTACAAAATAATATCTACAAATGATGTTAAAAATGAAACTTGAGAATATCATTTTTATAAATACAAAATAAATCATTTATCCACCTATTTCATTTATGTATTTTTACCTCGTATTACTCAAAATAGGTACATGTAACAATTTAAATTCTCAAACAAAAAAAAGACAATATCACACTTCTCAACATTTTCTCAATGAAACACAATTAAACCCTATCATCCTCTATATTCAAACCACCTTAATTTATCTCACAAGAGAATAGGTCATTTGACGGAAATGGATCCCCTGACTTTGTGGAGGGAAAGTTAGGATAACTTAATACATTTCAACCGTTAGATTTGTAATAAATGATCAGATTGTGACACGTGTACATTTAAGTTAAAATATATATTGTACACGTGTCACAATCTAATTTATTTTTATACATTTAACGGTTGAGATGTATTAAGTTACCATAATTTTCTTTCCCCAAAGTCAGAGAATCCGGATCCGTCATTTGACCTATATAAGAAATTTTCCATTACTGTTTCTAACAAATCATCTTTCATTTTAAACTCACATAATTTTATATTTCTCGGTGAATATATAAATATTAATTAATTGTTAGTTTTGTTATTCCAACAACACCCACCAATCTATCATCAAATTATTGTCACCCACTTGATATACCTTGTACTTTCTCCTATACAATCTTGCAGCTGAAGAATGTGCTAACAAAATATGATGAACTGCCAAGTGGGGCTCATAGGTTGAATTACCCCTAGCTAGTGCCCTTTTTAACACAAAATGGAGGAGAACATCGTTGAGGCGGGATTGTTCCCTGATCATAACCACCAAGGGCAAAAACATTAGGCTCGTTGATAGTGCTTCAATACAAGGCTGTCACCAAATTCTCTAAAACACACATCTGCATAGTCTGTGAAGTCTCTTCTGCATTTACATCCAACATCCAAGTAATATATATTATAATAAAACATATTATTTATCATGTTGAAAATTAAACATTCTATTATCTTTTGTGTTTTATGTTGTAAAAAAAAGTTAAAATCAATATATTATTTTGAAGTATATTTTTCTTTAAAAAAAAAAATACATTTGAGTGTAGCTTGCTAGTTTAATTTTTCTTAAAAATAAATGGACCTAAGTTATTAAATATATGTGAGGTTTGTTAAAATACATCTTCTTTTTTAAAAAGAGTATATTAACAAGTTATAATCGTAATATTTTTTAAAATACACATAAATGTAACTTGTTAACTTATTCCTTTAAAAAAAAGTAGTTGTGAATTAGCAAACATATATGTATGTGTGTACAGCGTGTCATGTCAATTATAGTTAAGTAAACTTAGTCAAAAGATGATGATTTATCAAAGTTCATGTTATATTTTTTTTAAAAGACAAAGTTTTAATGTGAGAAATGAATGGTTAAATGATTATTTTCTTACTTATATAAAGAAAAATAATTTTGAAGATGTTGAAAATGAAAAAAATTATTCAATATTTTTAGAATATGAAATATCATAAAAAAAAAATTAAAATATATATTTTTATTCCAAAAATATGAAATTATATATTTATTACTACAAATTTGTATTTAAATATTGCTCCCAATATTTAAAATTCCTGGATCCGTTACTGTTTGGAATGTGCCACGTGTTAAAGTTAAAAAAAAAGGTCATTATACGTCATAGTGACTTAAAGTTATTATAAATCATAGCACCACATACTATAATTGTGCATACCTTAAGTTGGAATGCACCACGTGTTAAAATTATATATATAAAAAAGTGTAGTTATGCATCATATTGATCCAAAAGAAAATTAATTTTATTTTAATTTTTAAAGGGAAGATCATCTAAAAAAAATATGATTAAAATTACTCAATCTTAAACAAATTTTAGTTTTATAAAAAAAAAATAAACAATATAAATGAAACATAACAAATTTTAAAAAATATAATTGTACTGTCCGTACCGCGAAGCCGAGCTCCGAGCTCGGCATCACAGCGCAAAATAAGGTCGGGCACGCGCTACGCGATGTCAGCTCGGCATTTAAGCAGATCATAACTGATCTCGAGGTATCTCGCTTCAGGCGAGATCCACTATCTAATCTTATCATATCTTATCTCAGGCCCAAGGCCCAAAACAACCCTAATTCACACTAAGGTACGTGCATTACTTATACGAGACTCACACTCCCACAGACACTAACTTTAGCATCGGAGTCTCTTTTGTAGGTACCACCCCCATATTGGAGCATCAAGCGTACTAGTGAAGGAGGCTCACCGATCTTACCCGGCGGATCAGCTCTACAGCAGATTTCCGGTAAGAACATTTGGCACCCACCGTGGGGCCGATCAGGACAGCTCTTATCGGTCACGCTTATGGTTTTCACCAGAAGCCATAGTAGACGCACAACAGACGACGCAAATCAC